GTTTGGGATTTCACCTAAACCCAAAACCCGGAACATTAAACGCTAAACCCTAAAACCTAGAGAATTTCAGGGAGGTTTATGGATTCGGAGCTTCGCCTAAACCATTGACCCCTACACCATAAACCCTAAACCCTAAACTTCAAACCCTGAACCCTAAACCCTAAACCCTGACCCCTAAACCCTAAGCCCAATACCATGAACACTCAACCCTAAACCCTAAACCCTAAACCCTAAAATCTGAACCCTAAAACCTAGACCCTAAACCCTCAACCCCAAACCCTAAACTCTGAACCCGAACCCCAAACCCTAAACCCTAAACCCTAAACCCTAAACCCCAAACCCTGAACCATAAACCCTGACACATAAAACCTAAACCCTAAACCCTAAACCCTAAGCCCTAAAACCTAAACCCTAAACACTTGACCCCAAACCCCAAACCCTAAACCCTAAACACCCAACCCTGAACCCCAAACCCCAAACCCTAAACCCTGAACCCTAACCCCTAAACCCCAAACCCCAAACCCTGACCCCCAAACCCTAAACCCTAAACCCTGACAACAAACCACCAAACCCACATCCCTCAACTGTCAAACCCAAAACCCTAAACCCTAAACCCTGACCCCTAAAACCTAGACCCCAAACCCTAAGCCCTAAAACCTAAACACTAAACCCTAAACCCCAAACCCTGAACCCTAAACCCCAAACCCTAAACCCCAACCCTGAACCCTGAACCCTAAACCATAAACCCCACACCCTAACCACCAACCCTAAACCACAAAGCACAAACGCTGAACCCTAAACCCCAACACCTTAACCCCCAAATCCTCAACCCTCAACCCTCAACCCCAAACCCAAAACCCTAAACCAAAACCCTCACCCCAAACCCTAAACCCAAAACCATTAACCCTAAACCCTAAACTCCAAACCCTGACCCCCAAAACCTAAACCCTCAACCCTAAACCCTAAGCCCTAAACACTAAACACTAAACACTAAAACCCAACCCAAACCCCTAAATCCTAAACCCTAAACCCCAAACCCCAAACCCCAAACCCCAAACCCTGTACCTTTAACCATAAACCCCAGACCCTGACCCCCAAACCCTTAACCACAAACCCTCAACCCTCAACCTCAACCCCTAACCCCTAAACCCCAAACCCCAAATCCTAGACCCTAAACCCCAAACCCTAGCCCCTGAACCCTAAACCCTAAACCCCCAGCCCTAACCTCAAAACCCAAAACCCAAAACCCTAAACCCTAATCCCCAAACCCCACACTTCAACCCCTGAACTCTAAACCACAAAACCTAACCCCCAACCCCTAACCCTAAACCCCAAACCCTGAAGCCTACACCCTAAACCCTTAACCCCAAACCCTCAACCCCAAACCCTAACCCTCAAACCCTGAACTCCAAACCCCGAACCCTGAACACCAAATCCTAAACTCTACACCCTAAACACCAAACCCTGAAGCCCAAACCACACACCCTAAACACTAAACCCCAAACCCTAACCCCAAATCCTAAACCCTAAACCCTAAACCCTAATCCCCAAACACTGAACCCTGAAACCTGAACCCTAAACCACAAACCCAAACCCTCAAACCCTGAAACTTAGACCCCAAACCCTGAACCCTAAACCCTCAACCTCAACCCAAACCCTAAACCCTAAACCCTAAACCCAACAAGCTGAACCCCGAACCCTAAACCCCAATCTCTAAACCCCAAACCCTAAAACACAAACCCTAAACCCTCGAAACCCAAACTCTACACCCCCAACTCTAAACCCTAAACCCTAAACCCTAAACCTCAAACCTTAAACCCTAAACCCTAAACCCTCGAAACCCAAACCCGAAACCCCAATCCCTAAACCCCAAACCCCAAACCCCAAACCCTAAACCCTGAACCCCAGACCCTAACCCCCCAACCCTAAACCCTAAACCCTAAACCCAAGACCCTAAACCTCAAACCCCAAAACTAAAACCCAAAACCCTAAACCCTGATCCATAAATTCCAAACCAAAAACCCTAAACTCTGACCCCCAACCCCTAACCCCCAATCCCTAAACCCCAAACCACAACCCCAAAACCCTCACCCGAAACCCTGGATCCTAAACCCCAGACACAGACCTATAAACCCTGAACCCCAAACCTTAAACCCTAAACGCTAAACCCCAAACCCTCAACCCTAAACTCTCAACCCTAACCTCCAAACCCTAAACCCCAACCCCTAAACCACAAATCCCAAACCCCAAACCCTAAACCCTAAACCATAAACCCTGCACCCCAAACCCAAACCCTAAACCCTAAACCCCAAACCCAAAACACTAAACCCTAAACCCCAAACCCTAAAGCCTAAACCCTAAAGCCCAAACCCTAACCCTAAACCACAAACCCTAAACCCAAAACCCCAAACCCTAAACACCAAACCCTCATCCCTAAATTCCAAACCACAAACCCTGAACTCTAAACCCCAAACCCTAACCCCCAATCCCTTAAACACCAAACCCCAAACCCTAAACCCTAAACCCTAGCCCCAAAACCCTAAACCCAAAACCCTAAACCCCAGACCCCAACCCCCAGACCACAAACCCTGAACCACAAACTATAAACCCTGAACCTCAAACCTTAAACCCTGAACGCTAAACCCCAAACCCGAAACCCTAAACCCTCAACCCTTACCCCGAAACCCTAAACTTCGAACTCTAACCCCCAAACCCCAAACCCTGAACCCTAAACCCTAAACCTTGAACCCTTAACCCCAAACCTAAACCCTTAACCCCAAACCCCAAAACCCAAACCCTAACCCCCAATCCTCAAACCCCAAATCCTTACCCCCAAACCCTAAACCCCAAACCCTAACCCACCATCCTTCACCCCCAAACCCTGACACCCAAACCCTAACCCCCAAACACCAAACCTCAAATCCTAACCCCAAAACCCTAACCTCCAAACCCTGACCCCCAAACCCTAACCTCCAAACACTAAACCCCAAACCCTAACCCCCAAATCCTAAATCCAAAACCCTATCCCCCAGACCCTAAACCCTCAACCCCACACCCTAAACCCTAAATTCTAAACCACAAACCCTAAACCCTAAACCACAAACCCTAAACCCTAAACCCTAAACTGCAAATCCTAACCCCCAAACAGCAAACCCCAAACCCTAAACCCTAAACCATAAACCCTAAACCTCAAACCCTAAACCCCAAACCTTAAACCCTAAACCCCGAACCCTCACTCCCAAACTCCAACCCCCAAACCCTAAACCCCAAATCCCAACCCCCAAACCCTAACCCCCAAACCCTAACCTCCTAACCTTGACCTCAAAACCCTAACCCCCAAATCCCAACCCCCAAACCCTAGCCCCCAA